CAGACCCGAGACCCGAACCCCCCCACACAGAAGGTCTCCACGTACCCCCTCTCGGGACTCGGACGCACTCACGTTTCCGAGCCTGGGCCTCAAACTGGGACAGGTTCTGCCGGGTGGCCGGCCTCACGTCCACTTTTTCCCCATTGAGAACTTTCCCTGGTAAGAGCTCCAACAATTTGTGGACGGAGTTTTCAGAGGCTACCACCACCTCAGCATACCTTGAAGGAGGAAAAGTAAAGATGAATGAAAGTTGTTGGAGGTGAGAGGGGAACACAGACTTTCACTTCCAGCAAAAACTGGCAAGGCAAAAGACATTCGCTACACAGACACACACACAGACACACAGACACACAGACACACACACACACACACACACACAAAACCATCAACAACAAAAAGGTGCCAGCCTATAATCGGGGGTAAGGAATTAAAAATCAGCAATCTTGCTGGGCACAGTGGCGCACACCTGGAATCCCAGCTACTCGTGGGATGAAGTAGGAGGATCTCAAGTTCAAGGCCACCGGGGGCAACTTAGCAAGACCCTGTCTCAAAATAAAAAACAGAAAGGGCTGGGGATGTAGCTCAGTAGGTACAGTGTCCCTGGCTTTGGTACCCATTACTGGCAACAAACTAACGGCAACAAGACAAATAAAAAACACCCAACACCACCGACACCCACACCCTCAGCACTCTCTGCCCTCAACCGATGGATGCTCCATTGCGTTGCAGCTGGGTCCCCATCCTAAGGCAGTTTGTTAAAGCCACTGCAGAAGCTGGACCAAGGGTTAGAGGGGTAAAATCCAGGGCCAGAATATGGGGCAGATCTGTTCCCCTACTGGTTACAAACTAGAAGGGGCTTCCCGAACCCGCGCCTCACCCTTTGGACTGGCCATTTGCTCGATTTTCTGCGAATTTCAACTCCACCACATCATAGACTCCTATAGAGCGAATAACCTGGATCAGCTGCTGGTCTGTGGTCCACTGAGGCCGGCAAGATGGAAAAGGGAAAATGTCAAGAGCTACACGCCCCTCCCCAGCACCCAGAAGAAAGCCTCAAAGCCTGCTCCCAATCCCAGGGTTCTAATCACATGCACACCTCTCAAGGAGACCCAAAAGCCCAGCAACCCTCAGTACAGGCTTTTCTTTCGTCCTCGCCCACAGAACTCCAGACCCCTCAGTCCCCACCTGTAGGGATTAACACCATTTTAAGGCTGACTGCCACTCGGGCTGGCAGGTCATCAGTTCAGATCCTGACTACTAACAATGTTCAGTTACACATCAGACAGGCTAGAGCTGACTGTTGCCAGTAACTTTCTCTTCAGTGTGCAGATTTCCTAATCTGAGAAAATCACCCCTACCACTGGCCCAAAACCATGCCACACGGTAACTTCTGCACAAGTCACCACTGACCCAGTGTACTAGAGCTACCAAGGCCTTTGATCCCCGTCACCCACTATGATGACAGGACCATCTATGACCACCAAGAGTTCAAGGTGTTCACTCTGAAAGCTCCTCCCACAGGTGACCCTGCTAGACATAAAGCCCCAGGGTCAGGGGCAGCAATAAGATGGCAGAAAGAGCAACTACCCACTTAATCATTGCTTTCTTCGGCACCAGTACGTCCTCAGGATAGTTCTCTTTCAGAGATCAATCCAACCTGATCCCAGGAAAAAGAAATCCAACCCCATCAGAGCACAAAACAGTGCAGCAGTGGTCTGTGACAATGCCGTCACCCCCAGGGCTCTCCCTGCAGCCCCCGAGCCTTCCGGTTAGCTGTCCTCACCCAGGAAAAGCTGCCCACATAGACAGCTGCTCGCCTACTGCGCAGGCCACTGTATGTGTACAGGATCGCAGGAGTCTTGTTGTTGGGCTTGGGAGAGGGCTCCTGGCGGACAGGCGGCGGCGGCTCAGCACTGCTGCTTCTGTCATCTGAGGGCTGTGAGGTAGCCGTAAGCACGTCATCATACAGGTCAATCTGATCTGTATTGTTGAACTCTGGGTCCTACAACATGAGGGGTGGGCAGAGGCAGTTTGCAGACCTTTCCTTTTTTGTTCTTTCTGGTTCATTCTAGTTTACTTAGAGACCACAGGCAAGTACTCTGCAAAACAATATATAAACTTCTTGGTCCTACTCTAGGAAACCACTTGAAACTTAGTTATGCCTGTGTAAGTCTCTCTAGACCTCCTTAGTAGGAGGCACATTTCTGGTTGAGCTCCCTGAGAATGAAGACTCACAGCAGGCAAGCTAACTAAGGAGTAATGAGATGCCTGTGCCACTGTCTACAATGAGGCCAGCACCTAAACGCCTCCAACATCTGTTTCCCAAACTGAGTTATGTAACAGTTTTCTGTTCAATAAGAAATTGAGTAAGTTTATTTAGAAATATAAAGCACGTGAAGCATGTTGAAGTGGGTACCAAAACCCCCCAAAAAGATTGGGAGTTAATGACTTAAATCCTTTGCCCAAGTTCATGGAAGGCTACCCCAGCTTTCTATTAAAATCAATGAAACATAATAAGGAAGCAGGGGCTGGGGACAGAGCTCAGCAGCAGAGTGCTAGCCGAGCATGCACAAGGCTCTGGGTCTGATCCACAGCACTGTTTAAGCCACCTGAGCTCTAGACAAATCACTATCTACTCATGTGGCAGGTTGGGTGATTTGCCTTTGTGCTCCCAGGTAGGAAGGGCTGATAAATCACTTGGTCCTAGCCAATGCTCTAACCCTGCAGGGCACTACAGTCAGCACTCTACCCGTGGGTTCTCCATGCACAAATTCAACCAACTATGGACCAAAAATATTCTAAAAATTAGACAGCAGAGTAATAACTAGCAACACAGATAAAAAGTATAGTGTAACTACATAGCACTTTCACTGCAGTGGGTACAAGTAACTTAACAACAGATGACCTAAAGTTCCCGGAAGAATGTTTGCAAGTTAATGCCAATGCTAAGTCACTTTATATAAAGAACTTAAGCACTTGAGAGATTCAGTACAGAGGCGGCCATGGGAGGACCTTGAGGAAGGTCTTAAAACAAAACAACGTTTTCAAATAAAACTTACAGGGAATAAGGAAACATACTTGGATATTCAATGGAACCAAACTGGGGCTTCTTTTACACAGTATCTGATTCAGAGACACGTCTAAAGTTATAATACAAAAATGAATACTAAAAACTGATTGATGAATTAACATACAGATCTGGACAGTCCAGAGACCAAACGTGTCACCAGGAAAACCCTCACACTGAGCCAATGCAGCCAACCTACTCCCCAAGGTCCCTCAACGAGGACAGACCCAACCCTGGAAGACTTGGGTTATGGATTACTTCAGAAACAAACTGTTACAAGATTCAAACGGTCGGTCTGCGGGGCAAAGAGCCTCCCTCAGTCAGATCAGTCTGGCGGGGCCTACAGAGGGCTACACTGAAGACACGAGGCATCCAGCCGCTTCTGGGTCTAAATCTGCTGGCACCACCAGTTCATTAAGACAGAAAACCAGGTAATGCCTGAGATTTCTCTGATTACCAAAGCTGGTGATTTATTCAGTGATGGGTTATGTTAAAAATAAAACCTAATTCTACAAATTAAGTGAAAAATGTTTAACGTGTAGTGATGTTAAGTTTCATTCCAGGAAGATTAAGCAAGAAATACGTTTTTAATGATTGAATAGCTCAGGAAGAGTTTTGTGTTCACTAGTGAAGAGATACCTGGGCTGTGTTGTGAAGCTTCTTGGTTAATTTACAAAGATTTCCCTACCAATATGCTCCAAGTCCCCACTCTCACGCCCGTTCTTCCTGGGGTCTGACCTGACTGACTGAAGGTGTAACTGAGCTGTGAATCTACTTTTCTGAAAGTGGCCTGTTAGGTCCCATTATTTCAACTGTAGCCAAAGATCAAGGCTTTTTGGGTGCATTAACAACTGCCTCCCTCCAGGATTCTCACCTTTGCCCCCCACCCCACTGTTACTGTCCCTCTAGCTACACCATGACCCTCTGTTACTGTCACCCTTACCCACACAGACTGGAACCTGTTTTGAGTACAGGGATCTATTCTTCCTCCTCTACCTCACCTGCCCTGGCAAACACAAATAACTCAATAAATACTTGCTGGTGAAAGGAAGGGAAATGGGCACACAGTGCAAGGCCTTCTCAGCACGAGAAGGAACAAAAACAAAACATTCGACGAAGGAGCAGAGCAACCCTGGCTCATCTTTCCAGTTCTCTCCCCAGCCCAAGAGCTGCTGTGAAACCCAGGTCTCCCGACATAACAGGAATAAAGCAGCTGTGCAGAACAGGCTTTGGCAGCAATGCTATAAGAGACTAAAGAGTGGGCACCACAGGCTCCATCAATGAACTGGTAATTCTTGGGTGCCAAAGGGAGTTTTTGTCACAGGCCAGCTTGGGGCAAATCAATAACATTTTTAAACACTTTAAAACACAATGTGTGCTAGTTGCCTTCAGTCTAAGCCAGCTAACAATGCTATCCAGAGTTTTCACTATTTTTTTTAGCAGCTTCCAGATTACACTAAAACCAGTTTTGACAAAAATTAACTCATTGGGGAAAAAGAATGCCCTTTCCTCCACCTTCTCTGACATAAAACCTTCAAAATCTATACCTTCTCCCACGTGCCTAGCACCAAACAGTGCCCACTGGTCATAAAGGTCTGGTAGAGTACATATATTATCTTTGGTCTTAGGCCTCTAAAAAAGTCCTTTCATAACTATAAAGACAGCAGAGAACAAACTCGAGGCCAAAGCAGTGACCCTTGGAGAAGGCCCACCTCTGATCTGTAAGTTACACTGCTGAAAAAATTATGAAATCATTTTCTTAGACCAAACATGTCCTGTGGTCAAGACCCTATTCTGTCTATTTCCCAGAGTGAATCAGCAGCAGTTAACAGCACATGCTTAAAGAAGCCAAAGGAAAAAGCTTTTAATTAATAATAGACAATGAAAGGAATCTTCTCTTGTTGAAAAAACACAAGCCCATATTTTACAAAAGGTATCAAAAGTCTGATTCAAGGAACTGTGTAAAACCCAGGAAAGTAATGGATTTAAAACTAAATTAACATGTGCAACCTTTCTCTCTCAGCCAAAATTTGGCTTGACATCTTAAAAAATTCCTCATGTATTTAAGACAATTAGCACCCATATGTAGATGACTCTATAGTTCAGCAGGGGACATGGGAAAACTGCCATTAAGAAGCATAATCAGAGCCTGGGGATGTATCAGCGGTGGAGCCTGGGCTTAACAGGTGCAGGGTTGTGAATTCAATTCCCAGCACCAGAAAAAAGGATTAATGAGTGGAGCTGTACAGTGGCACAAGGTCATCCTACTACTCTACTTCCGTGGTGCTTGCTTGCTTTCTTTCTTTTTTGGTACCGGGGATTGAACTCAGGACCTTGCGTTTGCGAGGCAGGTGCCAGAACCACTGAGCTAAATCCCCTACCCGACTTAGGCTTTTTAAAACGTAAACTTAGGCCAATTAGAGGGAAGAAAAAAAAAGACATGTTGAGCCTCCTTTGTTGCGTCATATCAAAGTCAGGGTCCAACCGGGGAACTCTCCTTCTCTAGTCCATTCTTTGCACGCTCTTTCCAGATCCTTATGTGCACCCATTGGAAGACGCAATGGGAAAAACCAGCCTGCCCAAGTAGAATGGTGCTGAAAATAACCCACGTTACATATTATTAAGTTTTAAGTGCAGACCTTGGAACATTCTTGAGATCTGATCTCATCATCACAAAACTGAATTTCATAAATTATTATTTCAGGAAAAATTTTTGTATGATGTTATCTGATGTAGTAAAAATAGGGGCACCAACAAATCCCACCCATAGCTGCATTTCTATGAGTTTGTACTCTCTCCCCACCCTCCAAAAACAGTAAGATTCATCAATAAAACTTATCACATTAAAACACCTATGGATTTCTCAAGACAAGAGGCAAGCTACTTAAACTTAAAACAATTGGAATGGAGATGAAACTAAATGTTAGGGTACCTTTGACTCTGTCTCTGCACTTTTACACTACCTTCTCTAAGTGCAGTCTCAGAGACTAGTAACCAAAGGGTATCAACACTGTCCTCAAGAGCACGAAACAAAAGTAATTGATTTTTTTTTTTTTGGTACCGGGGATCGAACTCGGGTCCTTGTGCCTGTACAGCAGGCGGCGAAACCACTGAGCTAAATCCCCGGCCATAATTCTGATTTTTAATAAGTGTGGTTTGTCTTTGATGCTACCGACATTTCGACTTCGGCTACCTGGGGGAGCAAATTCCACAGGTTGATTCACCGTTCTATTGCACTTCATTTTTATTTGCTCTTAAATCAACGCTTTAAAATTAAGCCTGGAGGTTCAAATTAACATAAAGTAGAAGGGCCAGTAGTCTTTAAAGTCTCCACTAGGGGGAATTTTTTAGATGCCAGGGAGAAATTTTCAGACCTGAATAGACAAGATGCCTGTTCAAGCCCCGGACTGGCACAGCGTGAAACCACTGCAAGTTTGGTGTAAGCGATGCAGCGGAAACCCCAAAGCTCTCGAGGAGCCCTCACCTGGTTGAACTCCTCGTCGGCGTAGATATCGATGAGGTCCACTCCTTCTGACATGGCTCCGGAAAGACGATCTCGCGCCGGAGAACGGACAAAGTAAGAGAGACGCCACTGCAGTGTTCAGAGAGGGCGACGATTAGCAGGCAGGAGGGTCCCGGGCCGGGAGGAGGCCCGACCGCCGGCCTCGCGTTCCGGAGCCGCAGCCCAGCCCGGCCCCCGCCCCGCCCCGCCCCGG